AAATGTTCATCGGGGGACTGAGCTGGCAGACCACGCAAGGTGAGCGCCGCGGCGGCCCCGCACCTGCCGCCGGGGATGGCGGGGGGCCGGGGCCGGGCCCGTCGGGGGGGAGAAGGTGGGGTGGTGGTGGTGGGGGTGGTGGTTGTTGTGTGGGGGGGTGCCGGGCTGGGGACACCCAACGGTGGGCGCTGTGCTTGCAGAGGGCTTGCGGGAGTACTTCAGCCAGTTCGGCGAGGTGAAGGAGTGCCTGGTGATGCGGGACCCGCTGACAAAGAGATCCAGGTGAGAGGCCGGGCCCGCGCCTCCCTTCGCCCCCGCCGCGGCCCGGCCGCCACTTTAACCAACTTTCTCTCTTCTCTCCCCATCCCCTCTCCTGCCCGGGCTGCGGGGCTCAGGGGCTTCGGGTTCGTCACGTTCATGGACCAGGCTGGCGTCGACAAGGTCCTGGCCCAATCCAGACATGAACTGGACTCCAAGACGGTGAGATGACTTCTCCTCATCGCAGGGGTGCATTTGCCGGCGGAGCGGCTGCGCTGGGAGCAGCCCTCGATCGCGGTGTTTGATTTCCCCTTAGAGGTCGTAAACTATCGATTTCTGATACGGATTGATCCCCTTCTGCGTCCTGCTCGCCGGGGGGGGGGTAGCCTAGTGCCGCCCCAGCACCAGGGCCCATGTCCTGGCTGTGGGTCTGCAGATCCCGGTGATGGTTTTCCTCCTGCCCATCGGTCGTAAGGCCCCTCCGAGGAGCCACCGTGGCCCTCCCGGAGCCGGGACACCTGAGCGCCTTTGGGGCGAGGGTTTGCACTGGGAAATGGATGCCTTTGGGGAGAGGGGAGCCGCCCCTGCCCCCGGGTGCTGCCCAGCACCCCTCCCCCCACCTCAGGGCTGCCATCCCCACTGCCCAGGCCCCGCTTCCCAAAGCCGTGGTGGCCCGTGCCTCCCCTCGGCAGAGAGCCTTCGTGCCGCGCGCCCCAGAGACTCTCCTGTGGTTTCCCCCGGCGAAGTTTTTGTAACGGTCGTGGAGGTTCACGACTTTATTGTCTCCAAGCATGGCCAGCGCCCGCCCATGTGGGCCACCGCTGGCCTCTCAGAGCGGCCGCGGCTCTGGCCCTCGCTCTGCAAGGGGAGGCTGATTGGGAGCCCTGTCTGGGCCAGCAGAAAGCATTTGGTGGCTCCTTGGGTTGGTGGCGTATCGTGCCCGGTCCTGCCTTGCAAATCTGCGGCGCTCGGGAGATGTGCAGGCTGTTTTGGGGGGTGGGGGTGAGGTGTCTGAGTGGGAGGTCCCTTCTCTTTAGTTTTAGTGACTTGCCTTCCCCTGAATTCCTTTTCCTTATTGCTGCCCTGGGGTGAAGGTGAGGGTAGGGATGGGGGAGCAGCGGGGGCTGCAAGGGGGTGGCACGGTGAGGGGAGACGTTCCAGCTCCGGGCACAGGCTGCTGAGGAGTCCAAATGCGCAAGTTTTATTTCTTCCAGCGCGTGGCTCGGGAGTCCCAGCCTTTATCTTGGCAGAAGGGAGAGGGCGGGAGAGCGAGACCCCCTTTCTTAGGGTTTACGGTGTGAGTTGCAGCGAGATTTATGTCTGTTCCTGTTTAACTGCCTGGATCGCTCCCTTTGATGTGCACAGGTCCTTCCTCCCCACGGGAGCTCCCGGTTAAACCTACCCCAGCCTTCCTGGCCGAGGCTGGGTCCCCAGGACTCCCAGCCCTCCTCCTTTCAGGAGTGATGTAAAGTGAGTTTTGCTCTGGGGGAGGGTTTTGGTAAAGTCTTTTGAGGAGGGCCCAGGGCTTTCTTTTTTTTCTCTTTCTTTTTTTTTTTTTTTTTTTTCTTTGTGTAAACACGGGGTCTGCTCAGCTATGCTTGGGGTGGGCCAGGGGTTTTTTTTTTTTTTCTTTTTTTTTTTTTTTTTTTTTACTAGCCTGTGTAAACACGGTGTCTGCTCAGCTAGTCCCATCATGAGCCTGCGGGCTGGCATAGACCCCTCTTGGAAAGGCAAGTGATGGATGTCTGTTGTAGCACTAATCCTGAAAGCGTTTTGGGGCTAGGAGCGAGCCGAAACCCCCACCATCTCCATTGTGTGAAGCCGCTCCGTGCCCACCCTGTGGCCCAGGAGGGTGGGAGGGACGGGCAGGGACGGGGCGGCCGGGTGGGCGCTGCAGGAGAACAGAAGGGCCTCGTGGCGTGGGGACCAGCCGGCCATTGAAATTCCCGGCCGCATCTGCTCCGCTCGCCCCACCAGCGCGGCAGAGAGAATGGGGGCAGTTTCGCCAGGGCCCTTCCTTTGTTAGGAACTTTGATCCTCTCCCCCCTTCCTTTTTGTTTTTTTTTAATTTAGTGCGGTTCTCAGCTGGGTCAGATGTTTTGGGGTGTTTTTGCCTGGTGAGAGGTTGGTCTGGTGGTACCGCGTGGAGCCTCCGTATGGCTTTTCCCTGCTGAGCCGAAGGGCTCTGCTGTGAGTCATGGGTTAAATGACACAAACTCATCTGAATCCTAATTTAGGGTTTTATGAAACTTTGCAGGAAAAGGCCCGGTGTCCTGGAAGGGCAGCCTTCTCTCGAGGCTTGGTGTCTCCTGGCAAGCGGCACTTGATAGACAGTGTCTGCCCAACTTGTTGCTTCATTGTTTTCCAATTCTTCCTACCCTAACGAGTGCCGTTGGCCCAATTCTCTGGGGAAACCTTGTGCTTTTCAGACTCCTCTTTGTTTGTAAGCTAGATAGCAGCAGCCCACGGGGTTATTTATGGAAATGCTTGATACGAGAATTGGCTTTGCGGTCTCAAGGTAAAAGATTTGCGTGACTTCGTAGAGCTGCAGCCGGCCGCTGCCTTGGAGAGCGGGCTGTGGTGGTGCCGGGTCTCCCTGTCGTTTCTTTGTTGCCGTTACCGAGTTTTCTGCCGGGTTTGTCTTTTGTGGTGGAGGGAGCGAGCTATCTGCGGCTCTTGGGCAGCGCGGAGCAACGGAGTGAAGGTGCGATGGATGAACAAACCCAGTCCCGAGGTCTTGCGGGTCCTTCCCCGTCCTCTGCCTGCTCCGGGGCACCGACTCCGGCTGGGGGAAGGCAGAAGTTAGATGACTCGAGCTGTTAAATGGTGCCAGGGGTGGCCTGAAGAGCGTTACTGAGGAGCCCGGCCGGCCCGTTTGGTACAGCTGCCACATCAGTGGGATTCCTCCCTGTCCCCAAAAGCCTTGCGGGGTGAAGTGGAAGCAGTTTGTGCTCAAGTGACTTCCACTCACCACAGCCTGATCCCGGGGTTTTGTTTTTTTGGATACAATCTGAGCAGTCCTGAATGCTCTTACTCTTAGCAGATTTCTATCTGGGTTTGTAAAAGGGATCCATTACGTCAGTGGGTGACACTGAAACACAACTCCTCCAGGGCTATTTGTTTTAACACCAGAAATGAGGGAATAAGGCACCAGTGCTTTTGCTTTAATTAGCAAGACTCCAGCCACCGAGGAGCAGTCCAGTTCGAGTAACTTGAGTCCGGCACTGAACTCGCTCCCCTCCGCGTGTTCCCAGGGCTGCCCCTACAGTCGGTCGCCCCGGCCTCCCTCTACCTGCAACAATAGCTGGTTGTGCAGAAGAATTTGTGAAATGACTGCCTGCTCCCTCCAGCCAGGAGGACGCGTTATCTCTGCCCAGTTGATCACACTCAGGGTAATGAGAAAATGAGGCCGAGCTTAGCATTGCTGAGTATGAAAGCATCTTCTTGGCAGGAGCTGAATGACACTGGCTGAGAAGTAAAAGACAGTAGATTATTGTTTTTGCTTATTATCTGCCATCAACCTCCTGGTCTCCTGCCGTCCCCTGTCCTCAGAATTTGCTGTGGGTGTCTGCACTAGCCAGGAAGCTGTGGGGGGGTGTGTGTGTGTGTGTGTGCCGGGAGGGGAGGGAGGGTTCAGATGCCCCGGGGAGGCACCAGAGGGTATGCTAATCTACCGGCGCTTGGAGCTCGGGGAGGGAGGTTTATTTTTGAGTTTATTTGTGCTCTTCACTTCTGCCTCTGTTTACTTACGTGCTGAGTTTATTTATGTTGTAGACTGTGAGTCAGGATGGAGGTGGGGAAGGCAGGGAGAGAAGCTGGTGGAAGGGCACGGGGAGGCCGAGCTCCGGGACTGTGTGACAAGTGAAAGGACGTGGGACGGGAGGGCGGCCAGGCTGGAAACAAAGCAGCGAGAGGAGCTGGAGAAACACAGCTTCCTTTTGGGCTGTTTGAGCTGATGGGACGACGCTCCGAGCTGCCCTCCCGGGCTGCAGCCTTTCCAAGTGTGGGGGATGAGCCAAACCTGCCTTTACCGCAGGTCTTTGTAAGCTGATTTGTAGGTCTGGATCATCCCCGGTGTGATGTAACTTCGCAGGAGTTGCTGTAAAAATAGGCTATAAAGACAGAGGTGGCGGCCGAGGAGGAGCGGAGGCTTCCGTGGGTGTTTGGCTGGCAGCGGCCTTAGTCTCGTCCCGGCTTTTGTGGTGGTTGTGAGGCCACCGCGGGCCCGCGCTCATCCCTGCTGAGCCCAGCAGAACGCGCGGCACCTGGATGGCGGCGCGGGGCCGGCGGCAGGTTTATGGAGGAGCCGGGGAGGCACAATGGAGGGCTCAGCCCGCCGAGGGGGAGGCCTCGCCTCATTGTGTGCAGCGCAGCCCGGGGAGAGGGGCCGCACGGCCGCCCTGCGGCCACAGCCCCCACAGCCCGGGGTGGGGGGCTTCGGGCTGCCGGCTTTAATTCCTGCCATCCTCTCTGCTCTTTTAATTCTTCACCCTGTGCTCTGTGGGGTGAAATGTTTGGCTTTTCGGTGTGCTGCCTCTTTTCTGTCCTGTGTTAGTAGCCAGCTGAGCCCTGTACTTGTAGGCAGAGCGGAAGGGGAAAGCAAAAAAGGCAAAAGAAAGCACTTTTAATGTGAGGCCGGGGATGCCGGGCACCCAGGGGCAGGCGAGCGGGAGGGTGCAGCCCAGGCTGTTAATCCCAGCATGTGATGGGCTCCCGGGTGCGTCTGGCCAGCGCTCAGCCAGCGACGGACCACTGCATGCTGGGACTTGTAGTCTCCCTGGATCACACCTTACCGAGAGGGAAAGATGTCTGCGCCCAGCTCCGTTTTATGCACCTCAGGTAGATCCTGTGGGTTTTTAGCAAGGTGCCGCGTGGGCAGAGACAGCCCTGTGCACGGCGGACACCCTGCCTCTGTAAATAGGCAGTAAAAGCGTGTTCATCTGCTCTTACCCATGTCTCTTTCAGATTGACCCGAAGGTAGCGTTCCCCCGCCGAGCACAGCCCAAGGTAAGTACCACAGGTGGCCTTTGCCACTCCGGAGGGTGAAGTTCGTGGTGGTGAATCTTGTCCCTCTCTGTGAGGTTGCCGGTGCGGGCAGCGGAGTCACTCCCTGGGGTTTTGCTCAGGATTCACCTGGAGCTGGTCCTGCTGTGCCATGTGGCCAGCATGACGTGCCGCGTGGCCAGTGTGACGTGCTGCAGTGTCCTCCTGTTGGGCTCAGCACCAGGGGTGTGTGTGGCATTGGAGGAACCAGGAGGCCCCTTGGTTGTACTTTCGGATGCAGTAGTTAAAGCTGGTGCAATAAATGCCCAGGGTAAAATAAAACCCAGGATGAACTTAGTCCTTCCGAGTGTGAAGGCAATGTCTGGAATTTTCAGGCCTTAGGAGGCAGAGGACAGCTCTGCGCTGCAGTGTGATACAGGTGGAAAGAGGGTTGTGTCTATGCACGTGTGTGTGTGTGAATAGGTGTATGGCAGGGAGGGGAAGAAGGGTTTCATTTTGTGAAATGCCCTTGTGTGCTTCAGCACTGGAAAAGGCAGGAGAAGTTTGGTGTTGGACCTTATCTACAAGAGTTTCTGGCATTGAAATATGCAGTTGCAGGAACTTTTTCCAGGCATGCAGCTAGAAACTTTTCACTGATGAGCCAGCAGCCGGCTGGAGACCGTCTTTAGACTTTGGGTCTCCCTTTAACTCTCTTGGATGGGACTTTTAAAGTTTAGAGTCTCCATTCCAAGTGTGGTCACGGGAGAAGGAGCTGGGGAGAAGCAGTGTGGAGAAGCAGAGAGGGAAGAGGAGGCTGGTGCCGGGAGGGAAGTAAGGGGGATCAGGCATTGAGAACAATTGGTGAGCAGGTATCCCGAGTAACTGGAGCCAGGAAGCACATGGTAGGAATTGGGTTAATTCCATTAAGCAGTTTGGTGACAGAAGGTGCTTTAGTGTTAGAACGGGCTGCTCTCCAAGCCAGGGAATTGCTGCGGATTAGCCCTATGCTCCTTGGGGTAATTAGGACCATGTGTTCCTCTGAGAGCAGGGGTGTAGCCAAGCAGCTAAGGGGAGGATGCAGCTGGAGAGCCGTTTCAAAGGATGTCGGTGTGCCTCAGCCTGGCAGCAATGGCCCCTATCAGGGTAGCTAGTTTTCTTCCTTGTCCCAGCTGCTTGAGTGACAAGTGGCAGAGGGGTCTTCTCTTTGCCTTCTTGCAAAAGCAAAAGAGATTTAACTGGGAGTTGACTGGGCTCCATTGAGGTGACCGGGGAGTGGGTGTGAAATGAGGCTTATTCCATGCACCACTGGATGCGGTGCAGTTTGTTAGCTGGGAGGGTGAAGCCTGGGCAGTGCCAGAGCCTCCTGCCCGTCGTTCTGCTCCGGGGGAGCCTGGAGGAGGCTGGCTGTGCAAAGTGGCAGGGCTGCAGGAAGAGCTGGAGGGCTGGGGAGGGGACAGTCATGTCCCACGTCTTCATGGCAGTGTGAAGGTGCCAAGAGAGCGGCAGCAGGTTGGCGAGGGGAGAGGCTGGTAACATGCTGTCTGAGGAAAAGGTGGTGGCTGGGCGCTGGCAAGCACGATGGGGCAGTGGGAGGGCAAGAGTGTCCAGCGTGGGGACAGACCTGCTGGCCACTTTTGGCCAGGGGGCCTCGAAAAGGTGGAAGCTCAGCTGCAGCGAAGGGGCAGGCGCTTCCCGGCAGCGGAGGGCAGTTAGTGGCCTTTTGAGTCTCGTTCTCTGCTGGCTCTGGGTTTATTCGGTGAATTCCTGTCCTTCCCTTTTCCAGATGGTGACCCGAACGAAGAAGATATTTGTGGGTGGTCTGTCTGTGAACACTACTGTGGAGGATGTGAAACAGTATTTCGAGCAGTTTGGGAAGGTAAGTCTTTTGAGTGGCGTTGGATCAAAGCTGTTGCTTCTGGGGCAAAAAGGAGTTTTTGGAACTTCTGTGGAGGCGGGATTAGGAGCTTGCGAGTCTTTTGCACAGTGTTAAGTAGATTGAAGGTCAGTTACAGGCTCTGGGCAGCTGTAATGTCTTTGCAGGGGCTACAGCCAGTGACTTCTGCCCTGTGATGATTTGAAGCAAAGAGTTTGTGCTTGTTGCTGGAGTCAGTAGGACCTGGGCTAAAGGAAATGTTTTTCCAGTTTTTCCCTCTCCAGAGGCCTTTTGTGGCCTACAGGTTGGAAATTTGTTTGAATGCTGGAGGAGGGGTTGTAGACACTCCTAACAGAGTGGCTGCAGCATCAAATCTGTGATTTTGGCCTGTTCCTAACTCGAAGCCTTGTGATTGATATTTTGGTAATCCTTTATTAAAAATAAGTCTTGTGGTCCTGAAACTTCTCCTGCTGAATCTTGGGCAAGTGGTGGTGTTAGTTTTGAATGTTTGGAGAAAATCTGGCATTATGGCTGTCCCCTGTAGTGGTCTGGCTCTTCTGTGCTAGCTGGTGGCTCAGGGAAGGGTGGGCTTCTGTGGATGGAAGTCACTTTGCTGTGGTCCATGACAACCAGAAGTGCAAATTGTGAGTTGGGACTCAATCAGAGGATAGAAGGGGGCTCAGTCTTGGCCCTCCAGTTCTCTGTCAGGAGGCTAGCATCCCCAGAAGCAATCTCAGCAGTATTAGACTGAAGGATCCCAAGATTTTTAATGGGATTAGGAACTGAAGGGGATCATCGTACCCAAATGCTGAATGCGGTCACCTCTGGGGCAGGTCACTGTGGCTGTTTCACTGTTGTTTGGTGGTGTTGTGTGTGGGTTTGCTGCTTGGGGCAAGAAGTGTTGGATTCTGTAGCTATCACAACCTTCTTGTCCGTCTGTGGGGGCAGTAATCTGGCTGGGACATTGATGATGGCATCGTGGATGTGCAAGGAAGTACCATGAGAACTGTAGAATGTGAGGGATGAAAGCTTTGGTCTGAAAGACCCTGCAAAAGGGTGATGTTATGTTAAGGCACATTAATTGGTGAAAAGAAGGGGTATTTTGTAACCAGTTTTACTATATCATGGGAATTTTGGGGCAGAAAGTTTGGAACAAATGTTTGCTTGGTACCTTTGGTCAGCTTCTGAAGCCAAATCTGCATGTCCTGGGATGCTGTCATGACTGCAAAGTGGGACTCCTTTGTATTTCTGTTCAGTCCTAAGAGAAAGTAGCAATAGCAAAAGTGGTCAGATATCCCCATGTTTGCCAGTTGTTAGCTCTGTGTGGTTCTATTAGAAATAAACAAACTCTGTTGTGTCCCCAAGAGCTTTTACATCGTGTCACCACTAAAGGTGGTGGTGTTCATGTGTCTGTGTAGTCTGAAGGTTGTTAGTTTGTTTTGTGTGTGCTTCTATGCTGCTGGTGGATGCGTTTGATAGGAAAACAAAATGTCTTGGGCATAATCCCCTTTTAACCTTAACTGTACCTCTGTTAATTTGAAGCAGAAGCATGTCATGTAGCACCCTGTTTACAAGCAGCTACAGTTTCTTCAGTTTGAGGAGCACCTTCCAGTTCTTTTGGGGTGTTGTGCTGTTATGTTCCTCCTGTTTAATGGTCATGTGCTGAAAGGTGTCCTGACGTCAGGAGGCTGGCAAGAACTGGTTGTGTCGGATTGTTTTCTTGGGACTGGGCAGAAGGGAGAGTTCTGCATAGCTCAGTGCCATTCATTTCTGAAGAAGCAGCATCCCGGACAACATCCGGCGCTCCGGTTCCGCGTCAGGCCGATGCAGCTGGCCTCTTGGCTCTGGGGAGTTTCTGTGGGGAGAGATCAGGGCTAGTCAGATTGACTTTCTGGTTTTGTGGCAGTTTTCTGATTCCTCTGGCCTGAAATTTCAGCTGAGGAGAGGTCCTCAGAGCTCTTGTATAAAGCATCTCTCTGGGCCTGTAACCATCCTCCAGGCTAAGCCTCAAATAATCCACTGAAGGTCAGGAGAACTCTTTCTTGAGAAATTTTCAGCTTTGTGTGGCTGATGCACAGGATCAGTGCGAAACTGTGTTTTGGAGGAAAGCCGCTGTGGCCATCGCCATCAGCTCTGGGGTTCTGAGCTCTGAATGTGTCGTTCTGTGGTTTCTAGGGCTAAGAAAAGCCTGTTTGCCTTCGATTTCAGATGTGACTCATGGCGAACATGATTTTGGTACACAGGCTCTTTTGGTGTTTGTTTATGGTACTCTGGGGCCTCCTAGCTCTCAGAGGTTTCCTAGGATCCCTTCTTCAGAGGTACTCTCGGCACCTGACTCAGTGGTCTTCCATCTCCTCAATTTATGGCATCTTTAAGTGGAAAGTGGTGAAGCTTCAGCTGTGTTATCCTCATCTTGGAAAAAAGAAAATGTTTTCTAAATCTTTTGGGCTGGTACTTCTGGAGTTGGACTGGGACTGTCTGAAAAAGGAATTTTTAGGGACTTACCCTCCGAGGAAAGGGCTTTTTCTGTGTTCCCTCTCTTCTGAGCAGCCCCACAGTTTTCTAGGATCAGGTGGGAGAAAAATCACTGCCTCTCCAGGAAGGCATGAGAACCCTTAGCATCTAGAGAGGAGAGAGAGGGGAGCACAAGTCACCCTGCCTTGACTCCTCAAGATCAAGGTACCAGATTCCTGGGGGCGAGTTTTAGTCAATCTTTGAGAATCCAGTGGCAAGCTCAATTTGGATCTCAGCTTCAGGGAGAGACCATACTCTGCTCCTGAGGACCAGGGACTCCAGGCTGCTGAATGGCTTTTGCATGAAGGTTATCTTCTAGGTAACCCTCAGGCCGCAAGCCTAAGTGTGTGTTAGATTTGCCACCACTTAAGGCCTTTAAATTAGGATAGATGCTTTTTGAAAAATACACTTTAGTCCAGACAGAAAGCGGGCACATGCTGTAGGAATTATGAGAGGAAGTGCTATGGCCTGGAGTACAGACGAAGGCAAATTAGATTATCATAATGTTCTCTCTGGTCCAAATCCGTGAACTGCAGTTTGCAAGCCTACCAAGGTAGCTGGCGTCAGTGCATCTCGGGTCAGAAACAACACACCTCGTGTGTCCATTTGCAGGAAAAAACCAGAAGTTTGGTTGGGCTGAAGATGAAAAGGTTTCCCATTTCATAAAACAAAATTCCCAAGTCTGATTTTTCCATTTTGGCATTTCCTCTAACTCTCTAACTCTCCTGCTTTTTGTTTTGTTTTGTTTTCTTTCCTTTCTGTGTCCAAAACCTTCTTTCAGCTTTGTAAAATGGAAGTGGCAAAAGAGAAACGAAAATGTGTAGGGAGGAAATCCATGAGTATTACTTAGGAATAAAGGAAGAAAGGGAGAGGCTGGCACCCCAGTTCTTCATATCAAAATACTTGGCTTTAACAGGCACAAAAGGTGAAGCTTCAAAGAGGATCCCAAGTACAGTGTGAGTTTCTCTGCTTCAAAGAAGGATCACTTCATGTATTCTTTCCCTTCCAAAACTGTGAATGAAAAACATGGGCTGCTGTTTTCCTGAGGAAGAAAATACAAAGGGTTTTTTTAGTTGAGTGAGAGAGACTGAGAAGTGCTCTCAAGCTGGCTATGGTTTGTCAGGTGCAGCTGCTTGGGCTTTGAACATAGCGGGATCTCTAGGAAACACTTCTGGCTCCAAAACTCGAATCTCTCTGAGATGCAAGCTAAGGCCATGGACATGCTTTCTAAAGGAGATTATTTTTTCAACTGTAGGACAGAAGTCCTGGAAAGAATTGCGTTCACAGTGTCTGTAGCCAAGTGTCTTGGCTTAAGTTGGATGGTGCTGGAGATCTTTAGACTGCGTAAGGAAGTATTTCAACAGCCTCTCTATATTCAGGCTATCACCCTCACTGAAACCTGAAACAGAGAGAGAGGAGGAAGGTATCTTGCACCTACCACCTCAGGCATAGCTAGTCCTCTGTCTAGTTTGACATGTATGAGGATGCCTCAGAGGAGCTTGAGTCTCAGCTTCCTCCTCTTCTGCTTCAGTCTGTGGGAACCTCTTGTTCTGTATTATTTCTAGGATGAAAAGGGGTTGTCCATCAGAGAAACTTCTTTGGACCATTGGGTCTGTGATCTTGTAAACAAGGTTATTTGTTTCAAATCATAACTGAAAAAACCCAGATCATCTTCCTTTTTCAAGGGTTGGTCTGATGAGGTTTTGTGGTAGAGAAAGTCAAATAAATTGCAAGATAGGAAGCTCAGAACAAATAAGGTCTTTTTGTCAGGGACTTTATCTAAGCTGCGAAATCTTTGCCCCAGGATGTTGTTGCTAAAATTTGCATACGCTCCAAAATGATGGGACAAATTCTTGGAAGGTCTTTTAAATACACAGACACTCCTTTGATTCCAGGAAATCCCTGCATCACAAATGGCTGGAAGGTGATGGAGTACTCTGGGGCCTATTGTAATATCCTTGCCATGTCTTTATGTTCTTCCAAAGTTGCCTGTTGTTGGTTGGTATCTTATGGGGTGTTGGTCAAGGTGAACCTCTGCTCTAATTTGGTGCAGCCAGTGTTTTGTTTGTCATTAGGAGAGAAGTTGGTCCTTTCAGAAACTAGAAATGCAGAGGTACTGGAAGAAATGGGGGCTGGGACCCAATTGAGGTGTTTGAACTCATGGTTTTCTTGTGTGCTTTTGCATTTTGTGAAGCAGAATTGCAAGAAATGTATTCACAGTGACGTCTTTGCATGACTCACTAATCAGTCGTGGCTCCAAGGGTGCTTGAAAAGTGCTTTAAAAACAGTCTGCATCTCTCCCTGGGCCTCCAGGTGATCTGCGTATGTGGATGAGTCGGTCACGAAAGCTCAGCCTCCCTGTGAGGCAGACTGTGCCGAGAGAGAGAGATCTGCTCTCTAAAAATATCCTGGAAGCAAACAAGAAAAAAGATCTGCTGAGGTCTGAGGATGATTCTGACCTTTAGGCTGCCATCTAATACTCAGTCCAA